GACCTGGGGAGGCGGCGGTGGTTGGGGGCGACGGAGAGAAGCTAGGGTTTTGGTTTGAGGAGCGGAAGTGAGCGTAAAGGGGTTGGGTCACGGGACTGCGACTTATATAGGCAGTCCAAAACTCCACGAGAGTTGAACTCCCGTGGCGTTTCAGTCACCAATTGCCAAAGAACCGATCTCTGGCAATTGGGGACTGAAACTCCACGGGAGTTGAACTGCCGTGGAGTTTTTACTCTCACTACAGACTTCACGGGAGTTCAACTCCCGTGAAGTTTGTTCAATTGGGGACTGAAACTCCACGGGAGTTGAACTCTTGTGGAGTTTTTGCTCTCACTACAGACTTCACGGGAGTTCAACTCCCGTGAAGTTTAAAAATATGCTAAACTTCACGGGAGTTCAACTCCCATGAAGTTTCGTAAAAAAATTTTCAGAAACCGACCTGGTTTCAGCGACAGGGCTGAAACCAGGTCGATTTTTACAATTAACTTCGAAACAGGTCGTTTTTTATAAATAAAAGTCTAAATAGGACTGTTTCAAAAAATTTTCCTTTTTAATTTTGATACCACAAACGTCTGCTTTTATAACTTTGATGCCCCAAGTTTATTGTATCGAAGTTAAAAAATGTGGAGTTTTAGAGATATGAAAGTCAAAAAATGTGTCAACTTTGAGATATCAAAACGTCAAAAACAAAACTTTAGAATATCAAAGTTAAAAATGTATAAACTTTAGGATGTCAAATGTCAGAAAAAAACTTGGGTGCCAAATTTAAAGAAGGCATAAACTGTAGAGTTCCAAATTGCAAAAAAACACTTAAAAAAAACCAGTTGTGGGTATTTCGGTCGGAGGGGCCAAATTTATCCTACGCTACAAGGGACTAGAGAACAATTTCTTAAGAGTATTAAGGGGCAGTTTCTCAGTCTTGACTCTTGAGGGACTACTATCTAAATAACCCTTTCCGAAAATATCTTAGGAGTCAAAGAAATATCCGCAACCCTTATCCGTAAATATCTCCAACTCCAGCGCCATGTTCCTCCACCCAATTTCTTTTTAAATCCCACCCCCTCCCTTCGTTCGCTCCCCCCGTTAGCCTTCACCCCCCTCCCCAAAACCTTATCCTCCCAAAAAATAAAAATAAAAATAAAAACAAAAAAATGGCGGCCTCCTCTCTCCTCGCCTCCAACCTTATCTCCTCAAACCCTAAAACCCTAAACCTCTCCTCCGCTCCCCTCCTCTTCTCAAACCCCATTGCCAACCTACCCTTCTCCTCTAATTTCTCAACCGCCGCTGTCAAATTGAGGAAGGGGAGAGGGCTCGACTTAGGGTTTGTGACGAAGGTATCCTCTGTATCGTCGGATTACGAGGTGGAGGATGAGGAGGCTGCGAGCGGCGACGAGGCGAGCTTCTCGCCGGACCTGAAGCTGTTTGTTGGCAACTTGCCGTTTTCGGTGGATAGCGCCGAGCTCGCTGGGTTGTTTGATAATGCTGGGAATGTTGAGATGGTTGAGGTATAAAAAAAATATTTTTCTCTTCTCTATTTGGGTTCAAGTTTTGATATTTGTTGGGTATTTGTCATTTTTGGGAAAGATTGCGTCTTGGGTGTTAAAAGTGTTAATTTATTAAGACAGTCATGAAAAACTAACTGTATATTTGTTCAATTCTTGTACATGTTCTTCGTTCTTGTTCCTATGGACTTGTGCGAGGATTAGTTCATAGGCTCGCAAAATTTATGCATTTATGGATCTGTGTAACCGAAATGTTCCAAAATATTGTATGCATGGTTTTGCTTAGCCTGAAATTTTCTCATGTGATATAGTTGCGCAGTATGCCAATTTCATGTATGGTCCCCTGTTCTTTGCACATAAGCAGTGCTATAAACTGAATGAAATTAGTTTTGAGGGGCCAAGTCGGAGATGAAAGTGTGAAAATAATACATGTGTTGCGTCCATGTGAAAGGGATAATTTTCTCTTCTCTCGAAAGCGCAACACTTTTACACTTGCACCAGCATGTATAGAGTTGTTGCTGTTCCTCGACTGTATACTTTCATATTTCCACCGATGGGCAGCTAAATGAATTCTACTAGATGCATATAATATTTAAATTTTTGGAATTGAGCTTGACTTGGATGCTTTGCAGGTTATATATGATAAACTAACTGGAAGAAGTCGAGGATTTGGCTTTGTCACAATGTCTTCTGTTGAGGAAGTTGAGGCAGCTGCCCAGCAGTTCAATGGTTATGTGAGTATTTCCATAGATACTTTGCTGCTGTCTTATTTGTTTCATTAGATAAGTATACGGAATTGATTTTGTTTAATTTTTTATATCCTTTGTACACGTAGTACGACAGATAGTAGGATTTTTGTGTATATAACATGACATGAAGTATTTTCCTTAATATCTAGGTTATTTGTAATCCGACCACCCCTTGTGACTGAATCGTATTAGCTGCTGTGAATGTCCTAAGACTGATTTAGCTACATCAGAGGATAACATAAAGTCTTTATAGAACCATTATCAAATCATATGCTATACCTAATAGCTATCTCTCAGTTACATGTGTAGGTTTCCTGCTCTTTTTCCATGCATTTTGATTGTTATTTCACAAGGTGAAAAAAAGTCCTTTCAGATCGAAAAAGTTTGATTTTGACTGTCAAGATTTGATGTGCATCAAATTCAGCAAAGTGATGTGTATGATACTCCCTTCATTAATATATTGTACGTGCTCAAGGGAGTTTACTGCTAGTCTTGAATGGTCAGTATGCCAATATGGTCTTGCTAGCATTTAGATGAGAAATGTAGTCCATTCCATCAATTCACCATCTCCAACGAAAACTTTCTATTATTTCATGTTTCCCATATGTTTTCTAAACAATTACACTTGATAATGCAACAGGATTTCAAAGGCAGGACACTGAGGGTAAACTCAGGACCACCTCCTCCAAGAGAGGAACGCCCATCAAGAGGTTTCCGAAGTGGTGGAGGCGGTGGTGGTGGCAGTTTTGATGCTGCTAACAGGCTCTATGTGGGTAATCTTTCGTGGGGTGTCGATAATTCAGCTCTTGAGAACTTGTTCAGTGAACAAGGGAATGTCACGGATGCCAGGGTGGTGTATGATAGGGATAGTGGCAGATCGAGGGGCTTTGGCTTTGTCACTTACAGCACGGCCGAGGAGGCCAACAATGCTGTTTCGAACCTTGATGGCTCTGTAAGATATTGCCCTTCTCTCTTATACTTTTTCCCATTATGAGGTTGATATACTCGCGAGCAATGTCACTCTGGGTACTTCTTTGTTAGATCCCTTCAGTATCCACTCGTACATTTTGTGGAGATGTGATCTTGTATCATTTTTCAATGTCCACCCTTATCCTAAGTTGGGTTTGTTAGATTGGTTTAGAGGAAGGGATTTTAAGTTGGTATTAGAGCAACGTAGGTTCATATCCATACATTTAAAACATAATTTAAAAAAAGATATTGGTGCTAAAAAGGATTTTCAGCATGCATGGTCATGTTAGAGCATAATAATTGCACATAGACCCCCTGCTGTATCGTGTCATGAAACTTTACCTTGTAGTTAGATTTTGGCGGGCAGATAGATCCCTAAGTGCATCTTTTTGACTATTTTACCCTCAGGGAATCTATTTGCTAAAACCAATTCTCATTCTCTGAGAGGAGTCGAGAAAATTTCACTTTATATATGCCAACATCAAACTACGAGGGTGATTAATTGCAAAGCGCATGGGGGGGGGGGGGGGTTATGTGCAATTAACGCAATAATAAACTCAGCCCTCATTATAACTTCAAACTTTTGGTTATGTGGAAGAGACTTTTAAAACACTCCTTGCAGCACTTGCTACGTTCACAAGGCCATGTATGTACTACTTGATATCTTAACAAATCCCTACTTCAAGATTAACAATGCTAGCCAATGACATGATAAACTTGCTCTTATTTTGCAGGACTTGGACGGCAGAAGTATCAGAGTCTCGGTGGCAGAAGCAAGGCCACCAAGAAGGGAGTTCTGATCGCCAATGTTTCAGTTCAGAGATTGAGTCATTTATCTTTGAGGGTGAATTTTGTACGACGTGAAACTATGCGAATGCCTTTGAGGAATTATTTTCGGTCTCGTATTTGGGCTAACAGACATCTTGAATGCTTCACGTAGGTTCAGTGTGTGAAATCTTGTCGTGTGAAGTTTCTTAGATTTGAAGACTGGGGGTTGGGATCACTAGCTTGTAAAAGTTATGGATGTTACGCTTATGAAATTTTTGATATCTCAATTGCTTGTGGCTTAATGTTCACTCTATTTGTGCCGTACGATATTAAGACTACCGCTTTGCAACATGTAGGTTATTGGCCCAGATCATTATGACTAATGGGTTTTGTGGACCTTTTACCAACTCCAAAATGTAGAGAATTTCAGTTTCTATTATTTGTTTATTTTAAGAAAAAATATATTTCTAATGATGCGAACATTAGAACTTTTGGTGCTTCCTATAGTAAGTATATTATTTATCTTTGACGCTGGAGACGCTCCTTTTTTTTGGATAAAAAAGTGCAATGAAGAATTAATATGATGCTTTGGGCAGCTAAATGGCGTTACACTCTAAGAACTTTTTTTTTCCTTTTTTTTTTACCTGAGAAAAAAGACGAGAGGTTCAGTATAAACCTCCCAGTCATGCATACGTTGCCCAAAAATAGTTGTTTGCATACAATCAGCTGCCCCCTCAACTCCAAAGAGATAGCTCCATAAACTTACTTTTTACCCTTTTATTTTCATCCTGCATACAAGAAATAAAACAAATGGGAAATTCTCCCTCAAACTGTAAGTCCATGAAATCATTTTTTTAGTCATGATTATCCGAAGGTATTGCATGGCTATAGTTCAATCTGAATGTAACTTCCATTTGTATCTCCATTTGTATTTACATTTTAAGAAAGGAATTAAAAAATTTTATTTGCCAGTTGCTCCCTATGGGCGTTAGGGATTCCTGAGGGCAATAAGAATCTCAGAAGATCCGACCCGATCCCTCCTGCGAGAAAACAGACGGCAGATATTTGTCCTCCGTATAAATACTCCCAATATACGACATTCAAAACAACAAATCAAAATAAAAAAAAAGGTGTCTTTTGCTCTCTCTACTCTTCCTAGGTTAAAAGATTTCCAAATTCCCTCTCTCAATTCCTCAACAATGGCGATGATCGATCCAAAAATGAAGCGCTACTCAGTTCCCCTAGTTCTATTTGCCGTCGGTCTCTTCTTCCAGCTCGTCGTCCTCCCCAATTCGTATCCTCCCTCTCACTACGACGGTGATCCCAATCGCCTGTAACAATTTTTTTTTTGTTTTTGTTTTTTGAATTAACGCTTTGTTTTAAATTTTGTGATCAGTTCTTGGAATAAAGCCATACTCTTCGATCGAAGATGTTACTGAGGCGTATGAGAAGCTGTCATCTAGATGGTACTTACTTTCTTTAATTCAGTGTATATGTTTGCGAAATGCTTTCTTTTTCTATAAAGAAGAGAGCTTTTTAAGATGGAAGATCACTGCAACGCCGATGCTTTAGTATGAGTAAACCATGACATTGTATGTTATGAACAGTGAAGTTCTCTGTTTTAGTAAAACAAGGAAAATTTCATACTTTTCTCGGTAGTTTTTTCATTAATGAAAAAGGAACATGGCCATAATTCTGACATGGGTTTATTGTAACATGAACTAGTTAGTAGAGGGTTGACGCAGTGCATTCTGTGAATTCTGTATCTTTTAGTATATTGGTTTGTTTAGTAATCATGGATTTCAAACATTGTGATGTTGTCACAAGCTCAAGTCAGTTAATGGATGCTGCCTTGAGTTCTATTTGAAGCATAGTGGATTGCCTTAGATATACATTTTTAAGTTGGGTGGCTTATTTTACTGTTAGCGGAGTATGTATTCAGAGCTCTACGTACACATTTTTTAAATTAGCTTCTCGGCTTATTCTTGTGATTTATTCCTACAAAGGGTACACAAAATATTGTATCATCTTACTGCCAATGCCCTTCTCTTTTGAATTAACACTCGTAATATTAGTCAAAAAATTAAATAGGTTAAATTACTGTCATGCATATTTATGTTCTTTATTACTTTGCTTTAAAGGTTTGTTATCACAGAAAAAAATTGTCTTATTAATTTCCCATAATGCAATCTTAGACATTCTTCTGACCTGAGTTATTTTTGAATATATCAGGGTTTCAGGTTCGGAGACTCCAAGTGCTATTGCATTTATTAAGGTTAGTAAAGTTCCAACAGATTTGTTGAACATCTAATTCATTAAAGCCAATTAACTTGATAAATTTAGATACACAATTATATACATCCCCTAACTTGTATATGCGAATATACGTATGTTCCTTTCTACATAGCCTATCTGATATTTTGTGTGCCTTTGTTTAATTTTTCAGTAAGTTGAAGCTTTTTCAGTAGACTTATTTTTTCTATTAGTATGATGTTTTTAGCTCTACACTTTTGTCATT